GGTGGTAGCTACTACCTTGGGGTAGATACTTGGATGCCTCGGGTTTTCTACTCCTTGATTCCCCGCTGGCATGCCGCTGGTAAATGCGCGATTTTGGCTTCCGAGCTTTCCCTGTCACTTGTCGCAGTCCCGCAGGTGGAGGCCCAAAACACGGCGGGTTTGAAGGATTTTGTTGTTTTAGTTCCAGGTTTTGGTAGTTTAGGGTTCGAGGCTAAAGGTTTTAAATTTGTGGGATTGCTTTTTCTGATCTTGGGTGGGCTCAGAGTTCGTTGCGCAGAGCTTTCAGTTTGGTGTTCATGATGCAGGCATCCGGCAGGGGTATCCATGAGCCATGCCTCAAGGGATGAATCTGGAGGGTAGAAGGACGACCCTAAATCTTAAACCCTGAACCCTGAGCCCTGAACCCTAAACCCAAATGTAGACCCTTGATTGAAAAATCCCGGGCCTTAATATTCGGATCCCTATTATAACTCTAACCCCTAAACCCCTATTAAGGGGAGGTGGCTCTCCAGAACTTTGGGCTCATTTGTTTGCCCTGCTCCTGGTGGTTTTCTCCATCTACACGAGTATGGAATGGGGGCGTGAGGGGTAGAGGTTAGGGTTTGGGGTTGAGGGTTCTCCGGTCGGACAAGCAAGTTCCTATAGTTAAAACAAATAAGCTCATGGCTATGATGGTGCCATGAAGGTCTCATTGCAGCTGCTTAGTTTGGTGGCGCTTGTCCTCTTTTCAGTTCCTCCTCTTCACGTCATTAGGAAGCTTAGAGCCATTTAGTGGTGTCGGTTAGGCTCCTAGACCTTAGAGACCTAAACCCTAGCATACGGTTTAGGGTTTAGGGTCTAGACCCTAAACCCAACAACCAGTCAAGTGTTGGTTACTCCCTGAGTTGGCGCAAGCCACTCAGCAGGATATGCGGAGCCTCAAACTTATAAGGGTTTAGGGCTCAAGGTGGTCGCAATCATGAAGACTTAAATGGAAAAGAACATGGGAAATGAAATGGCAACTGGGACTATGTAGTAGCTTATAGGGATTAGGGTTAGGGTTAACTGGCCTTTTGGGGGTCCCAATAGATTACAGTATTTGTTTTTTTTAATGGCCCCAATATATGCTGAATTTATATTTTGTGTGTGATAATCCTGGTGTTTCGTAAGATGCCTGCCTACCAGAGACCCTACTGGATCCCAAATGTAGGTATAATGACATGAAGCTATGAAGCTATGAATGTAGGTCCTGGAACTTCTTTTGATACAGAAATTTGTGCTCAAAACGCAAACGGGCGCATAGTGCCGCATACGGGCACAAAGCAACCTGCAAAACGAGCTCATTTACGCGCCAACCGAGCGCATAAACCCGCAAACGAGCGCAAACAGATTTGGAACAAATTCGAGTGCAAAAACGTGTATCAAAGGAAGGTCCAGGGTAGAATGACGTTTTCGGGCCCATGTTGCACCTACTTCCAGGTAATCCCTCAAGTTTACAGGGGGCTGTCAAAATCAAGACTGTGGTCCCTTGTTACATCCTCAGTATCAGACAGTCCTTAGTATGTAGAGTTCCCCAATACGGGGGCCTAATTTTGTCAACCTTCTATTTCAATTCATCCCAGCCACTGCAAAGGGACCTGTTCAACCTAAACCCTAAACCTCAAATTGGATGGTTGTTAAAATCATGGTCCCTTTTTGGGTCCCTAGTATAATGCGGCACCTAATAGTCAGGGTACCCAAAAAGGACCATACGTTTGACAACCACTCAAATCACCTAGACCCTGCCCCCCCCCCCCGAAAGCGTGAAACCTTAAACCCTGTAAAACAACACGCCGAGCTCCAGGCTGCCTGTGCAATGGTTTAGGGTTTAGGGTTTAGGGTTTTGGGCTGGGTTGCGGTAAAGAAGTTTAAAGCAAGTGACCATATCATTGCAACGGTAGTTTAAGTTCAGTCCCTTAAGTTCATGGGCTAGTGTCCCCCCCATGTAAGCCGCACAAAGCCTTTTTTTGCTCATCGTTTCCCAGCGCAGAACCCTTGCTGCAAGCCTTTGTAGGGTTACCCACCTGGTAACTCCCAACCTGACCAGTCCCCGAAGCAATTGCCAGGCAGTGCATCGGAGGCCCGACACTACAGACGACTTTACTTGCCTCTGCTTAATGTAGACCCATGATTAATGAATCCCCTCCCTTAATAGGGATTATAATAGGGATCCTAATATTTAGGCCCTTAAAAAGGAGGGGTTTATTAATCATGGGTTTACATTAGCAAGAATGAAGGAATGGATTCTGATAGTAGCCCCTACAGTATACAATCCCGAGTAGTGTCGTTGTCTCCTTTTTCGTTCCTTCATTCCGTTCTAGAGGTAGGTAGTGTAGGGTTTTTGCGTTAAACCTCGCCTGGACGTAACATGTAGCCCCATGGACCCCTGGTGTTAAAAGACGGGCTGCTTTTATAAGGCCGTTGTTGGGATTCCATGTTTTCTGTGGGAGGAGGTAGTGATGGCGGTTTCAGGCTTCCAGGTTGCAGGATTCGGGTCTAGGGTTTAGGCTTAGGGTTTACCTTAAAGCTAAACCCTTAACCCTAAACATTTTGCTTATGGGTCGTCTTGGGCTAACAGTGTGGCAGTCCAGAGGGGAGTTCCTCGAAGTCATCCCTGTGCAATCCCGAAGCGGGCCCCCCCCCCCATTATCTACTGGCAACCGCAAGTATTAGGGTTTGGGTCTTATGTTTACGATCTCTAGGATAGGGTTCAGGGTTTAAGCAGGGTTTAGGGCTTAGGAAATTATATCCCTGGCGTCCCGCAAGGCGCTGCGATTTTGAGAACCTAGCTTGCCTGGCATAGCTGATGAATGTCTGTACACGTGCATTTTCACCCACGGGCTCCACCCTAAACCCGAATCCCTAAACCCTAAACCCTGCACCTAGACACCGAGGTATTGTAGTTGTTTAGGCTCGAAAGTCCCAGAGCGGACCCCGGATTTTGGAAATGTCCTGTATGGAGTCCTAAATTCCTAAATCTTGGGTACTGCCCCCCTCATTAAGGGCTATATATACCCATATTATAACTACTATCCAACTGTTACAGAGGGGGGGCAGTACCCAACTTAAAACCCTAAGAATCTAACAGCCTCAAATTCTGAGGCGGTTCGCAACACTCATTATAAAACAGGGCGGTTGCGCCAGCTACTGTTTTGGAGACCTCATTGGAGATAGGATGAGAGGCCCCTTTAGCGCCGGACGTTTTTAAAGGATCTGCAATCCTCAGGCCCCAATTTGCAGAACAATTGGTCTGAAAATCAAGAAGCAGTTCCGGAAACATGCCGACTGCAAGGTATCTACTGGTGCTGGAAGGATGTCTTGTTTTCGCACAGCATACGTATGTCATCGACGCCGGAAACCACGTGCAATCTCTCGCCTAAGATGTGGACAACATGCTATACTAAACAACTGCGTATGTGCTGTTGGCTCCATATGATCCTGCCAAGAAGCTTTGTGAGCCCACCTTTTGCAGCTCGGAGCCGCAATCTACCCATGCGAAGTAGCCATCTTGAGAAGTGGCGTGGGGAACGTGGCGCTTTCTGCGACACACCTGCAGGAGACTTTCCCCTTGGCCGTAACCTTTAAACCCTAATTTGCCTCCAACCCTAAACCCTGAATTGTAAACCCAAACCCTGAAGCGGAATCCAGCCAGCATGTTTCGAGAGCTTGCCTTTTAGCCATCCCATGGCATCTTCTTCGTGGAAACAATGTGAGTATCGGCTGTTAAGTCCTTATTTAGCTTGCAATCTGGAATCGAAGAAAACTCCAAGAACATTGCAGGTTATGGGGAAGCTGCAGCTAAGAATCTCCATTTCTTTGTTTGGCGCAGGAGGTGCATCAGCATCTGAGATCAATTGCAACAGACCAATCTCACAGATGGATCATTGCAGCACACAAATTCTAAAAATGCTGCCAAATCACGTGAGCCTTGGGTTTCATGATCCATGCCAGGATAGAAAGCCTGTGCGCAATTGTAAATCTTACACGGCTAGCTGGCTGATATTAAATCGAGACTTCAGCCTCGTCGAGATTCTCGTCAGCAACAAGTGATATCGTAGGAATTCTTTCCCAGAATTGTAGATCTCGTCAGCCACACTCTGTGTCCTCAGATTTCGGACTGTAAAATTGAATGCTATAACCCTTTACCCTAAACCCTAAACTGTGACCTGCCATGACTGCTGCAGCGTGGGCGCAAGTAGCGCCCATGTCGCTCACAGAGGCCGAACCAGCGGGCAAACGCTGTCCTTTGTTCTACGGTGTGGGGCTGGTTTAGGGTCGCAGCGCTTTAGGGTTGTGGGGTTTAAGGGGGTATAGGGTTTAGGGGTGTAGGGGTTTTGGGGTTTAGGGGGTTGTGGCCTCCGATTATGAAGTTAAAATTCCAAGACCAGGGGTACATCTTCCAAAATGTATTCGACAAGGATCAAGGCTGCAGCTTGCAGGGGAATGCGGGGGTCATCGGTCGTGTTGCTTCTGGAAACTTCCCGAGACACATTAGCCAACCACTCAAGCATCACTCGCCCGTTATAGGCTTTGCAAGTGCAGTAGTGACCGTGTACCGCTTTCACAACCAGACTCGGAGTAAACCTCTTTTGTGAACAAGGAATTGCATTCATTCTTTTCCAAATTTTGAACTGTTCAAACGCGACCTGCAGCAAATCACGTAGTGGGGTCTGGGGGTCGCCGAAGTGTCCAATGGCAATCAGCGTCATCCTGGGCTTAGGGCTTAGGGTTGGATCTGGGGTTTAGGGTTGTAGGGTTTCGAGGCAAGTATCGTCGATTTGAGTTTAGGACGATGACTCAAGGTCAGGCCCAGACTCAATGCTCCTCCATTCGCAGTATAAACAAGGCCAAGATTACAGACGTGCATTGAGCAGATCTTGATCATTGTCACATCAAAGCCTCGTAGCAGCACAAGCGGACCTTGGATGATGAACATAACCGATATCATGATCACGAATTCCCCTCAAAATCCCGTATGATACTCAATCATCATGATCATCATCACCCGCCATGGCACTGATAGGCCCAGGTCGTAACATGTCAGAAATGAAGTTGCGGGTGTCAACCTCCGTATCAATCCAAGCAGCATCTTCATCAGTGTTGTAGTACCGCATGTCATTGTCTCGGTTTTGGGCGTTGCACAAGAAGCAAGGGTTGACAGAAACAGGGGTGCGGATCAAACGTAGCCACTTCTCGTGAAACTTCCAATCACCCTTGATCTCGCAGCAGGCAAAGCAGCGACCGATTGCACGTCCAGCTCGGGCTTGTTTCTTTGGCGGCAAAGGTGAACCATCCATAGCTGTCACGGGGTAGCGACCTTCAAAAGCCATGTTGGCACTCCAGACAAGATGTTGCAGTACCGGCATAAGGGTGGCCAGCTCGTCATTGATCATTGAATCTACGTGCATGGCAAATACCAAGAATTGCCCTCGTCTCACGCTTCGGGGTCGAAATAACGTCAACGAAATGAACAACCCTAGGACCTTGTCGTGCGGGTCTTGGCCAATGACGCATTCGTCACCATATATGCTAAATGGGACATGCTGGTCCGTGCCAGGGTGCGATAAAGCAAAGGGCATCTTGACATCTCTTAGATGTTTCCAATACTCACGTACCTGATCATGAGGGCACTGTATCTTTACCTCGTTGCAAAGATAATCCAGCAACTCATGAATGTCGAGGATTGGCACATCCATGGTGGCGATGGTAGGGGCGCCACCAGCTGAGAAGCTACGCGCAGGCACTGAAATCCAAGTAGGGTCCTCGTACATATGAGACATCACGACCAGGCGCTACACATATCATGGATTCATATTAAATTTTTAAGTCCTAAACTCCTAATGCCTAAATTCCCCTAATTATTATACACATCGAGAGCCTAGGAGCCAGGGGCAAATTAACAGATTTGAAGAAGTTTCGGCTGTAGTTGCCCGGCTTGTACCGCATGAGCCCACGAATCACACGCCCTCGGAAATTGCCACGGGACTCCTGATCATGGACTGGATCAACCGCAAACCCTAAACCCTAAACCCCCGCCTATAACCCTAAATCCTAGTTAGCCCGTGTCCTCAAAAGCTGCCGCCGCTGTGGTAAGAGCAGAAGTCACACTCGATGCCTGGATCCAAGGCGAACTGGTGGGAACGGTGAATCTCCAGTTGAGGCTGATGTTTGCAACTAAGTCGCACCGTCAGAGACTTTTTCTAAGACATTTTGTAGCAATCCATCCGGGGCATCATCACCAGAACCTGGCAGAAGCATACATCTATAAGTTCGATTCCAGAATTCTAGATGTTGGCTATAGGCAGTTGGCAATAACTATCTTTTCCCCCAAAGCCACCAGACAGGCGCGTAATGGCATTCCGTGTTCAAGGGGCTGCACCTACGAGCCAGCACTGCCATATCACTGCAGCAATCATGATGCTCGTGAATGATGCAATCCCCAGGTGATTCTTTACGGCGCGCTGGCTCCTGTGCTTCCGGCTACACAGCATGCCACTTCGGCGGCCAACGTTGCTTGTAATTGCAAATTGCAACATCTAGATCTTAAATTGTGGGATCAGTCCATGGCGTAGCACAGCTCAAGATCGAACCTCAAAAATCGAATGGCAGATTACTTTGACCCTTTCTTGCTCCCACTCTTCTTGCTCAGCTGCTTGGCCAAGCTGTCATATTTCTCACACGCCTCAAGCACAGCGGCTGTCAGCTCCTGCATGTCATCATCCTGGCATCGAATGTTTGGGCTTCGGGGGTTCGGTTATTTGAATTCAGAATTCGGATTTGAAAATTGCCTTCTCTTCATCCATGGCGGTCTGCAGCAAGGTCCGCTTGGACTGCATCAGGCCAACCTAGCCCCAGGGGTCGTGAGACGGTTTTTAGGGTCTATAGGGTTTAGGGTTTAGGGTTCCCGACATAGCCCTTTAAGCCTAAATTGTAAGTCCAGGCCTGCTCACGCAAGTCTCGAAGCATAGCCTCCAAGTAATTTGCGCCCCTGGGTCCGAGACAAGTTGATCATGAGAGAAGCATTCGATCATAAATGTTTATTTAAATGAATTTAGGCTAAGAGGCAAATCCTCCCGCGCAGTAGCCTCCTTCTTGACATCCTTGAAGTTCTTGCACTTACCCGAGGCTTTGTCCACCGCCTCTCATAATGGCATCACGAAATTGTGAGCTTTCAATCTTAAACTCAAACCCTAAGCGCTGAAGCCTGAGCCCACGCATATTATTTTCGACCTTAAACGCTCAACCCTTAAACCCCAAATCCCAAAACCACCATACGACCAACCTTCTTGGCTTCCTTCACGACATCGGTGTTCTTTGCTTTCGAACTCGCAGCCTGCAATGTATCATCATCCCCAAAACCACCAATTAAATTACCTAAACCCTCGACCCCAATGAAGAGTCGACTTTGAAGTGCTATATGCTATCAGTGCAAGTCAATTTAGGCATGGTTTACGGATGTACACTTCCTGCCTTAGGACCATTGGGCTTCGCGTTGTCCTTCTTGGTCTTCTTCGGGCTTCTCTTGTTTTTTCCCTTCTTCTTGCTTGCAGGCTTCTGATATCGATCCTTATTCTTCTTAACCCTGGTGCCTTTCGGCGGCTTATTCTCCCCGTTGGGCTGGCCTGAGGACGAGCTGTCATTCTCCGAGCCGCTGTCCTCGAACTGGATAATCTTCTCGAGCTCCTCAGCATCCTCCTGCTCTTCGGTATCATCGGCGAGGCAGAGATACTGGACCATGTCCTGCAAGAGGGCTGTGGGGGGGAGGGGGGGGTACGTTTGAAAAAGTCATCATGAAGGGTCGTTATAATTATATATTATTACGTATAAACGTGGGATTTCAGAATTTAAATGTATGGGGTTTGGGGCTTTCAGGGTCAAGGGTTTCCATTTCAGGGTCAAGGGTTTCCAGACACAGCCCCCAGAAGAAGAACATGTAATCCATTTTCAGGGGCCGGTTAAGGGTCAGGTTTAGCTTATACGTATAGACTAGACCCTAAACCCTAAACCATATGTATAAATTTGAAATGAAAAACCCGAAGCCCCAACCCGAATAATTCCACATGTACGCCAGACTCCTGCCGGTGAGGAAGCTCAGGGTGCTGTCGCACCTCTCGCTCCTTCAACTTCTCGTCACCAAGCTTCGTGTTCTTGATATCCTCCGCGATGTCAGTGCCCCATCTTTTGACCATTTCGTCGAACGTGTACCAACGCCGAAGGCCTCGGCGCGCGTGCTTGCTGCGACTCTTCAAGGCCACCAGGAGCTTGGAGTTTTTCCAGCTCTCCGAGGATGTGATCCAGGCCTCGAAGAGGTAGGATCTCTGGGAGCTTGACGGGAAGGCCTTCTCTGCAAGCTTCTTGATCTCAGGCGGTGTGTTCGGGCCTAGGTATTCGTTACTTGGAAGTCGGTAGTACATACCCCAACCTTGAAATTAAACCTGGCTTTGAAATCCTAAGCCCAGATAAACTTAAGCTAAAATTCACACGCAGTCTAGGAACTCACCAAAGATCGCGAAAACCGCATGTAGCGCGCGTGCAAGCGCTTCTTGCGTTCCTGCTTTGTTTCGGTTTTGGTATCCGCCTCTTTTGTCTCCACAGTCGTCTCCTTGGGCACCTCGATCTGCTTATCCCCAGCCACCTCGTTGCTGCCAGCTGTCGCATGTGCCTGCAGCTTGGACTTCTTGCTGCTGCTTTTCTTGGAGGATTTCGGGGAACTGGGCTTCCGCTTCGGGGTCCCACTTGATGGAGCGTCTTGGGTTGGTGCCGAAGGTTGGGAGGAAGGCTGCGGCTTGCTGGCTTGCAGTTGATCAATCATGGCCACGACCTTCTGAAGCTCGTCTGGAGACAACCTGTCTATTGTGTGGCCTCGCTGCAGAAGGCCTTGCACCCTGGCAGCCTCATCCGTCTGCGGGGGGTTGGTGTCTGAATTCCAGCTCCACCACGGGCTCCACCATGGCGGCTGAGCGTCGCCGCTCCATTGCTGATCGCCCCAATCATCACCCCATGAGTCCCAGGAGGAGTTCCACTGCTCGCTTGACTTGCCCCAATCATCACCCCAGGAGTCCCAGGAGTTCCACTTCTCGCTTGGCACGATGTCCTGCAAATTCGAACCGATGCATCACGACATCCCACACCCTAAACCCGTGATAAAGGTTAAGCACTCCCTGTATCCCTAACCCCCAGAAATCCGAAACCAATTAATGTAATTTAAAGCTTGATCAGGCGGCGCTGCCTCCTCCGTGGGCGCAACGTGGGGCGCTGCCTCCTCTGTGGGGGCAACCTGGATTCGGAGCGGGACAGAATCTGAAGGGTATACCTATATAATTCATAGTACTATATTAAGTGTGCAAGGTAGAAGCCTTCTTCGGAGTAGCCCGCAGGGTTGAAGTCTGCCTTGGGGTGGTGCGAGGGGTCGGCGTGTTTGGCTGAGCGGCAGGGATTTCAGGTTCATCACGACCATGATCAGGATGCTTCGGGGATGGCTTTGCAGGGGTTCGGGCCACAGAGGGGGAACGGCCTTGCCTCTTCCTACCCGAAGTGGGTTTCTCATGCTTCACACATCCAGGTGGGGAATTGATTTCAGCTGGCTCTGACTTCAGGGGAGCAGGCTTGGCAGGGGAGGCTGGATAAACTTGCGTGTCTGCGAAGGAGTCTGCCGTTTCGGCAGCTGCTGCTGAGCTGGTGTGGTCGGGGCTGGGCTTCTTGCTGCTCGGACTTCCATTGGATGAAGGAGATGGCCGTTCTTCACCTACATTCAGGGATTCTCATTTAAAGATTTCAGTCGTTCAGATTTCTAAGTTGAATCCAGGGCAAATTATGGCGCTGTGGGGGCATGGCTGCAGGCTGATTTGAGGCTCACTCTTAAATGCGATGAAAGCTGGTGCCACTACCGCTAATTCCTCTCTGCTGCTGCTGCTGGTGCTGCTGCTGCTGCTGGCTATATTAGAACCTGAGACCATTGCAAACACCCAACCCTAAACCCAGAGGGCTTCAAGCAAACCACCGGGCTTGAGAGTTCGGGGCTCTGTGGGAGTTTGCGGATGAAGCTGGAGGCCTTTGAGCGCTTGGCAGATCTAGCATTACGGGACCTTAGGTTCTATAGGCCTTGGGTCAGGGCTGATTCCATGCACAGGGCCTACGTACTACTATTACAATATTAGGGAATTTGCCACTTCTGGCCCAAGTTACCCCCCCAGACTAGCCACCCATAAACCTGGGCCACTTCCTGCACTTCTGGCCCAAGTTACCCCCCGCAGACTAGCCACCCATAAACCTGGGCCACTTCCTGCCCCCTCTAGTACGATTACGACTACGACTACTACTACATAGCAGCAGCAGCAGCAGCCTAGGTGATGGGTAGTACTAGAAGTAGCAGCCCAGCAACATAGAATCCCAAATTGGAGCCCAAGCAGTAGCAGAAGAAGAAGTAGTAGTAGTAGTAGTCGTACTAGTAGTAATAGTAATAGTCGTAGTAGTAGTAGTAGTAGTAATAATAGTATAATATAGCAATAGTAGTAGTAGAGTGTAATAATAATAATTAGTAATAGTAGTAGTAGTAGTAGTAGTAGTAGTAGTACTAGTATTATATTATATTAGTAAGTAGTAGTAGTAGTAGTAGTACTCGTAGTACTAGCAGTAGTAATAGTAGTAATAGTAGTAGTAGTAGTAGTAGTCGTAGTAGTAGTACTAATAGTAGTCGTAGTAGTAGTAGTAGTAGTACTAGCATGTAGCAAGTACACAATAGTCGTATAGTGATCCCAGCCTTGAGTTGAGAGAACCTTCTTTCGCAAGCTGGCAGCTTTGGCAAGAGCGGCTTCAGCTGCTGAGCTCCGCATCACGCAGGAGGTCCAGCAGGATGTGAGGCGAATCGTATAATATAAAACCCAAAACACACGAACAATGAGGCCCCCACTATGATGAAATCATTGAAACCATCGGGAAACCATTCTACTTTTGAACTGAAATCCATTCACTGCATGAGAATGCTTGAAGGTATTTCGATTGAATTGCCGCCCGCAGAAGCAGCCGTCAGTCACGATTTTGACAAAGTCACGCCAAAGTCACGGTAGAGTCACGCTCCCGGAGGCCCCCCCCAATTCCTACAAGAAAGGACTCCTTCTTACGAATGTTCAGGGTCACGCTAGAGTCACGCTAGAGTCACGCTCCCCAAGTGGTCTAAAATACGATGAAACTCCCTCATAATTTGCTAATTTCCATCGAAAAGCAGTAAGGTTCTTGCATTGTATGGGCCCGAAAAATAGAACCCTGGCTCTCCGGTTGCACGCTCTCCGTGCATCCGCTGCCATGTCTGAAATCCACATGGCATGGAAATTACGAATTTCGAATTTAGCAAGGTAGAACCAATCTTGGTGATGACGTATATACCATGCAGGGTCTGGGCTGCAGACACAATCCTACCCATCCTTCGACCAGATCCTGGTTCTAGTGTTCTAGACCTTAAAGGTCCATCAAGGGGTGAAAACGTCCAGCATTTGCCTCCTCTCGAAGGAAGCAAAGCACTGCATCCAAGTTCGCATGCTGCCACTGCAGCGGCTTCTCGATCTGCACGTTGGGGATTGAGGATTGATGTAGGATGAGGGTGTACATCAACACTACCCCAAACCCTAAGCTGAAACCCTCAACCTCACTGAAAACCCTAAACACTAAAGCCTAACACGCACCCTACACCCTCAACCCAAAACCCTAGTCACTGTGAGATTATAGTTAAACATATCCATATACGGTTTACGGGGTGTCAGAGTATCTCACACCATTCTGGCCTTTTTGCCCATAGCAAGGGTCCTTCTGCCATCCGCCAACAATTTGGCCATCATTCGTGCGTACTTGACCTGAATTTACATAGCGAGTGTATGCTACAATCGTATGGGGATGCGCAGTTCAATGCTGACCAAAGCACTCTGTGCTTCATGTGAAGCCGAAGTACACGCTGGCAATAGCGGTGAGGATAGATCTGCGTAGCTTTCATGCGAGGGCCCCCCGACCTCACGCCAAGTCAAGAATGTGATCAAGAATCCCTCTAGACCCATAGGATGCATACAGTCCCCGACACGGCGATGGATCCATCTGGACGCCGACGGCGCTTTACCACCCACTCAGAAGAAAGCCCTAGGCGCACTCGGCGCCGCCGGGTCAATTTCTTTGCCAACTTCGGTATGAAAGTCCTGGGCATATTGCGATCAGAATTTCCGGCTGCCACTGCCTATAGAGTGTGAGTAGCGGACGCCGTACCCAATGCCAGGGACGGTTTGGCGCTGAAGTGGCCCCATGAGCCCATCCAGCTTAGTTGCATTGCACATATGAGGATGCATATCATGAGCCATGATGCATCATATGGATCACATGCGATAATTTACTGGGGCCTGTACAAGAAGGTTCGGTGAACCGGCATTATCAAGGAAAGCGTGTCGAAGAGATGCTCCATATAAGGTAGGTACTCGAGACTCGAAGAGCCCGGTTGCTCGAACAGGAACGTACAGGCACGAACTGTTGCCAGAAGTGCCAGCAGTGCCATTCTAGCACCCATCCTTAATTGCAAGATTTGGGCCCTGAATTTAGAATAACTTGCGGATGTAACTGGATTCAGCTTCGCCAAATGCAAGTGCAAGGCTCGTGTTTGAAGCAGATACGTATGGTCGCTGCTCGTTACCCAGTGGAGTAGCTGCCCGTCGTCCAGACGTCGCGCTGTTTATAAATACATAAGACCCACAAGGAATCCCAGCGGTCAACAGACCGCCTTGATCAAGCTTCAACGTGGACCTCACCGCCGAGATGAAGCCTAGCCTGCAAGTGGTGGTTGGGATGCTAGTGGGCGCGTTTGGAATTCGAAGTTTAGGGTCGATTGAGATGATAAATAGGTTTAAATCCCAAACCCTGAATCCTATATACATATATATACCTTCCCCTAAATCCTTAAACCCTATAATAAAAGATCAAGTGGAGACCCATATATGCCGGCATGGGGCGTAGAGGTCAAATCGTCATCGATGCGGCTGCAGATGTCAATGTTATCACTTAGATGGAGAATCGAATAATCAAATTGCCACGGCAGAAATCAAATTGCGAATCTAGACTGGATGATGACAAGGAGCCTTTTCAGGCCAGCTGCGCCTGAGCACTCCGGAATTTATAGATTACACCGGTGCAAGAAGCTATTAGCGAGATCAGGGTAGGGTCTGGAGTTTGAAAGTTCAGGGTTTAGGGGCATAAGGCTTGGGCAGAATGCTCGCTGCAAATTGCGAGCTCCAGCAAAGACATCGAGATGCGTGTAGTCCTCAGCTCATGATACGATGTGATGCTCATGGAGAAGTCGGAGTTCAGGGTTGTATATATATACTAAGGGTCA